TGGTCTTGAGCTCCATTCCACATGGATGAGGGTCCCGAGATCAGGAGCAGTATTATACCTCAGGCTACGTGACCAGGGGAATGTGGAACTCGTTCGTGTCGAAGATGAGGGGCCGCGTGGGAGGGTTCGGGTCCCTGTCAGCCTTGTGCAGCAGCTTGAAGAGCCCAGTGCCAATGTTCATCGGGATTCCCATGATGATGCACTCAGATACTCCTGCAAACAACCAGAAGAGTTGTGAGGAGAAAGGGGCTCAGACACATCTGGGCTCTCAGGAAGCCCATCTTAGCGAGCAGGAACAGATAAGTTGGGGTGTGGGTTCCATGCACCTGAGCTGGTCTCTACCTGTCTCTGCACTGGGACGGCTGCAGGCACACTCAGTGCTGCACCCCCAGGTGGTCTCTGGGGGCCTACAGGGGTTTACAGTAGCTCAGGGAAGAGATAGTGTCCTCTCCTAGCAAGGCTGTAGCACAAGTGCAGCCAGTTCCCCTCTCCCCTCTGAGTCAAAAGCAATTGGTAGGAACACCTCTGAAAACAGGAAACTCGGACAGAAAAGACACTGACGAGGCATCCTGGGAACCCCGAGTGTGCTTCCTTAGTTAAGGGCCTGGAAGAAAAGCAAACAGCTGGGAAGAGAGGTGAAAAGAACACAACCCCTTAGAAACAGCAGCAGTAAACTGGGAGCTGGGCAGGCTCCAGGCACTGGGCAGGCTCCAGGCACGCCAGCCCTCATCAGAAACACGCCAGCAGGACTAAAAAGACTTGAGGGTTGAGGGGGTTCCTCTCCCAGCCACAGTGCAGCTTTTACAAGATCCAAATGCTGGGCTCGGGATCAGGCTTTTGATTCCACGAGAAGCAGTGAGGTGCCCACTATGTGCCAGGCTCTGAGCTCTCTGAGGCCAACAGCTCAGTGAAAAGGCAGAGCGCAGGCTGTGCTCTCTGTGAGCTCCAATGTGCTTAGAGACTGAGGAGAGATTCCAGAGGAAAGGGTTTGCTCTCAATTTCCCCAGGGTTGGCGTCCAGGGAGTGGTGGGCTGTAAAGGACAGAAGGACTACAGCAAAGGCACAAAGGGTTACACTCCCCGCTGGCCTCAGCTTTATCCCACCACACATTCCTCTTGCCCCACCTCACGTCCTCTCCCTTTTGTTGACTTTCACTCATCTTTACCCTAAATAAAGACATCATTTCTCTTTTATTCCACTTCAGACCTGGATTCTCCTAGAAAGGCCAGGCCATATTTAAATAAATCCTCAGGACAAACACTGATACATGTTCCTACCGAGGTCCTCACTAACTGCTACCTGTCAAGCAAACCCATTCATGTGGGGGAGGGCAGACTGGGCACTAGGAAATAGCCGTAGGGGCAGACATAGCGCTTGGGCTCTGGGGTAGGTATGTGTGAGGGGGTGTGTGGAGAGAGAGTGAGTGTGTGAGGGGGGTGTGGGGTGGGGAGGTGGTAAAGGTGGGGTGGGGAGTTTTGTAGGGAGACAAAGCACAGCACAAAGCAGAGTTAGGCCACCTCTGTCCTCCTGTCAGTGGGAGGGCACGATACCCATGCCTTGCAGGTCCACGGGGATACCGGTTCAGTATGGGGAGAACACAGTCTAACCGCTACCTGTCCTGTGGAGCCAGGATAGCAGGACCACTCTGCTGCCCCTCTGCAACCTTCACACCACCCTGAAGATGTGGGTTCAGTAGGGATGACTACCATCACACAAGGACGGAAAACTCCAACGCATCCAAGGCGGCGGATATCTTGAAGACCCACAAGGGTCTACTCATGTGAACATCCTGACGGAGAGGAGCCTCTGACAGATGCAGGGACATGAGGTCCTAAAGTCAGACTTTGGGACAAAACAGCAGGTGCAACTCCACAATCTATGGGAGTGGAATAGTCAAGTGCTGTGCTGCTCACTGTAAGGGTAGCTGTTCGAATCTACCCGTCAGTCTGTGGGGGAAATATGAAGCAATCTCTTCTCATTAAGATTTATAGTCTCAGAAACCCAATGGAGAGTCACCAAGAACTGGAAGCATTCAGGGGCGGGGAGCTTTGTGGTTAACATAGGAGTCTGTCTGCTCACCCACCCATTCTCCAAGAAGCCACAGCCCCAGTCCACACAGAATGACAGATGTCCCCCAGGAGGCTCCTGACATGCTGAACCTACCACACACGGAGTCCTTCTGCCCAAAGTAGGCTGCATCAAAGAGGTGGTCAGCTGTCTTCTCAAAGGATGCCAACATCAACACACTCTCCTTCATTTTCGCCAGGCCAAACCTTGTGATGCCTAGGACTTCACCCTGAAGCACAGGAGAAGAAAGCAGGGGTCTCAGCTCCCTGACGAAGATGGAAAATGAAGTACATCCACCCCATTTGCTCAACAAAACAGGCAAAACTCAGCCGAGTGACTGCTCAAGTCAAAACCTCAGGTATGAAAGGACCTTTACAGTCCAAATTAAGAAAGAAAAATGGCATTTGTACAAGACTTAGATTTAAGCATCTGAAAATACACTTTGTAAGATGCTGACAAGGGCTCAAGGGACTAGACATTGAGCACAAAGGGGTTAAGTCAATATAGGCACTTGAATTTAAAGGAAAACTGTGTTACTACTAAAAGTGACCAAGCTGCTCCCTGAAGGCAAGGATTCTGAAGCTTCATCTAACATCCTTAATACATGTTGCAAGGTGGAACCAGTCGTTGGAGAGGGACATCATTCTTGGGAGGGTGGAGGGACAGTGCAGGAGAGGAAGACCCTCTATGAGGTGGACTGATTCAGTGACTGGGCTAATGGGTGTTGGTGTGTCAGAGACAGTAAGGTTGGCAAGGGATAGAGCAGGGTTAAAGGTTATTGTACACAGGGTTGCTATGAGTCACAGTAGACTCGATGGCACATAACAACAACAACAACAAATACACTGCTTTAATTTTGAAACAGACTCACAGCTGACCTTCCAGTAGGTTTTCAGAGGCTGCCAATCACATGGGAAGAGACTGTCTATTTTTCTCCTCAGAAGCAGGTGGTGAGTTTGAACTACCTACCTTTGGGTTGGCAGTCCAACACATTATCCTTTAGGCCACCAGAGTTCACTATTAAAAATGTGTATATTTAAAACTAAGATAAATTATATATACCCTATTTATTTCAATTACAGTAAAAATTTAGGGAGCTTTGGTGGCCCAGTGAGTAAGAAGTTGTGCTGCCAACCCAAAGGCAAGTGGTTCAAATCGACTAGTTGCTCCTCAGGAGAAAGATGCACAATCTCCTCCTTAGTGATTCAGAGCCTCTGAAAACTTGTTAGACGGTCAGCTGAGTTGGTTCTGACTCCAGAACAATGAACTGAGTTGATAGTAAAAATTCATGGACACAGAGCAAGTTCAGAAGGGACACAGAAGGGGTGAGCGCAACATGACAGTCTTCACTTGCAATTCATTTCCCAAGCTAGTTTCTAAAGGTTTTATAATGTAACAGATGCTCTGTATGGGAGGCATGTAGAAAAGCTACTGTATTTTAACAATCCAGCCAGGAAATTTTTGTTGTTTTTGTTACTCATTCACTCTCAGTCCCAAGCTCCCCAGTCCAGATGACGTGTGATGCATGGTCTAATACAGAATGAATACCAAGAACCCCTGGGCTTTAGGAATGGCTAGCTTTGCTTTAAGGGACCTTGGTAGTGCAATGGTTAAGCATGAGGGTTGTGATCTAAAGGTCGATTAATTCCAATCACCCAGCAGCAGGGTTCTTTGTAGACCTACTGGGCCACATCTGTAAAGACTGCAGCCCACGAGCGCCCTAGCAGGGGTTCCACTGTCACATGTCTATGTGTGACAGTCCATGACCACTGTGTTCAGCGTGTGGTGCTGGTGCCACCTCGCTCTGTCCACCCTTCTCCCTAGAAGACAGGGGTCAGGCTACCTTGTAAGTCATAAGGTCAGAGAGCAGCATCACGTGCCGCCTGTCGATGCTCATGCCATGGTTGACCATTGTGTACTGGATCTCATTGATGATCGTTGTCCGCGCAGC